TCCCAATGGTCCAATCCACCACTGATCGTGGGGATGGTGCAGGACCCAGGTGGCGTTACCTTCCATCGTGCATGGGTCGCCATGAGCAGGGGGCCGGCTCAACAGCAGCTCACAACATTCTTCGCACGCAGGATGGGTCCTCCTCACAGTGAGCACTGTGTGGGGCTGATGAGCCAACTGAGGCTTGGAGGGTGCCCAGCTGGGTGCAGGCAGCCACGTCTGCGTGTCCTGGTCCCTCGTGGCAAAGTATCACCAGCTCAGGAGCGTATGATCTCACGGTTCTGGAGGCTGGGAGCCTAACTCAGGGTGTCAGTGGGCCGCGCTCTCTCTACCGGCTCTTGGGGGCGAGGCTTCCTCGTCTCTCCCAGCATCTGCAGCCCTGGGCCCTTCTTGGCTTGTAGGGGATCCTCACATGTGTCTCCCCCGTGTGGGACCCTGTCTCCACGTCTGCTCTCCTTTTTCATACGACCCCACCCAGAAGGGGTTAGGACTAGGAGCCCCGCTGCTGTGATATGTCTCAGCTAATCACATCTTCAAAGCAAAACCCTGCTTCCAAACAAGGTCCCCCTCACGGGCTCAGGGGTCGAGACTTCCACATACCTCTCTGGGAGACGCGATTTGATCCATAACAAGCTGTGATGGGGACCCAGGACTGGAGCCTTGCACCTCCCCAGCCTGGGTTTTTTCCCCGCAGCTGCTCTGCACAGCCTCATTTCCGGCCCGGCCGGGCCTGTGCCAGCTGCACCCGTTGATCTGGACAGGGAACAGCATCACCGGCTGTGGGCGCTGCCCCCGGGGCCTGCGGGGCGCAGAGGCTCCACTGCTCCCTGGAGAAGGGGCCCCGAGAACTGCGGGGTCGGACAGCAGCTCATCTCAGCCCACCCAGCCTCCCTCAACCATGCCCCACACGCCCAGAGCTCGAGGCTCCGCTGCGCAGCCAGCAGGCCAGCATGAAGTCAAGGAGCCGGCGGCCATGACTGCATAGCTGCTGATGAAAACCAAAACCAAACCAAACCCACTGCCTTCGAGTCAATTCCGACTCATAGCGACTTTGCAGGACAGAGCAGAACTGCCCCATAGGGTTTCCTAGGCTGTAATCTTTATGGAGCAGACTGCACATCCTTCTCCTGTGGAGCTGCTAATAGGTTCGAAACGCCAACCTTCTGGTTAGCAGCCGAGCACTTAACTACTGTGCTACAAGGACTCCTCTGACGAAAAGAGGCCTTCCAAAATAACAGATCAGCCTGAGCAAAGCTGCTCAGGGCCCCCGCCACCTCCAACCTCAGGCCGTCCAGGGCCCGGGAGGGGGCGATCGGCCTCAGCAGACCAGCTCAGGCTCTGAGCAGTGCCCAGAGAGAAATTCTCGGTGCCAGACCCTCAGGCCTGTTGATGGTCACAGACACGGCTCCTCGGAGCCTTTGCACAGGCTGGTGCATCCACACGGAAGGCCCTCCCGTCTTGACAATCTGGCACTTTAGAAGTATCACTTCCTCCAGGAAGTCCTCTGGGATTTCCCCCAGGCTGACAAGAGTCTCCTCCTCCTCCTTCTTCTCTGACCACATGTGGGATGCACTGTGCTTGAGGTCTGAGTTGGCTGGGCATGGCCGCCTAGCCCCATACGGGGAGGGCTTTGGAGGCAGGGGCCAGGTGGGATTTATCTCGGCCCTCCCCACTCAGGACCCGGCCCAAAGCCTGCCAGGTACAGATGTTATATAAAAAGAGCAGACCACATCAGAGACCTCATCCAAATGCAGCAGGTTTTGTTCACCGCCATGTGGAGATCAGCTCTGAGCCTGCCTTTAACAAGCCTCTAGCTGGGATAATAACACGAACCGTACACTCGAGCGGCAGGAGTCCATCACTGCACAGGGGCTGTGGTTACTTAACCCCCCGAGAAGGCAATCCCAGCACAGTAGGCCCAGGGGAAGGAGAAGAGTTACTGCAGGTGACATCAACCTGGAGCTCGGCCTTCCAGATGCAGGGGTGTGGCTCTCCCCAGGGCCGGGGCCCAGGAGAAGCCGAGTGCGGTGAGGGGCGGAGGCAGAAGCCGTCAAGGCCACGGTGGATCCGCTGCCCGCCCGCAGCAGCTGTGTGCCAGAAGAGCCTAAGTGTGCAAGACAACGAGACTGGTCTGGTGGTTGGGGCCAGGCCCCAGAACAGGGCATGATGCAGCCGCGCAGAATGACAATGTGAACAGCAGCCCGTCCCCCTCCCCCAGGCACCTGTGTCCTCCACAGTAGCCTTTTTCTCGGCTCATCTAAACACAGTCGGTGTATGCTTTAGGTAACATTGTATTATAAACATGTTTCATGGAGGCGTTTCAACCCCCACCCACACGAAGACAGTTGCCCTTGGACTTGGGCCCCTGAATGATCCAGGGCGAGCTTATCTCAGGAGCCCTCACTTGATCACATCTGCAAAGACCCTTTTCCCGAATCAGGTCACATTCACAGGTTCTGGGATGTGGACACACCTTCTCAGGGGCCACCATGCAGCCCCTCCTTCCTTTTCCCCACACGGCGCTGGTCCTCTGCCCAGGGCCATCTCAGGGACCCCAGGAAGGAAGAGGCTGCACCTCCAGGGCCATGTGGGGTCCAGCTCCTCAAAAGGCAGTGGACACCACGGCCGGGAAGCCTACACTTCTTCCTTCCTCCGCTCCCCACTGCCTCTCCCGGCCCCTCGATCCAGTCCGACTTCCTGACTACCAGCTGCCATCCAGCCAACACCGGCTCCTGGCGACCCGCTGTGTGCAGAGTAGAACTGTGCTCCATAGGGTTTTCATTGGCTGATTTTCCAGAAGCGGATCACCAGGCCTTTCTTCCGAGGTGCCCTGGGTTTGGTTAGCAGCTCGGCATGTTCACCATCGGCACCACCCAGGGACCCAAACGGGGGACAGCCCTCGGACACCCCGACCGTCCTCACTGCCCGTCACTCAGCTCCTTGACGTCTTTGGGAAAAACCCGTGAAATTCATTCACTTGCCCTGTTGGTCCCTGATGACTAAAGTCAAACACAGGCCATAATTCAAAGAACGTGGAAGTGTGGAGAACTATGAATGAAGGCTCGGCCCCCAGGACACTGCTCGGGGCTCACGGATGGGGCATCCCCATCCCCTCTGTTCACAACAGACACACATACATGTGCATGCATGATTATGTAAATATGCACAGGTTATTTTTTAATCAACACCCATGGAAGCAGCAGTCGAGAAATCAAATGACATATTGCATTGGGCAAATCTGCTGCAAAAGGCCTTCAAAGTGTTAAAAAGCAAAGATGACATTTTGAGGACCAAGGTGCACCTGACCCAAGCCATGGTCCTTTCCATCACTTCAATTCCCTGCAAAAGCTGGGCAATGAATAAGGAAGACCAAAGAACTGATGCCTTTGAATTGTGGTGTTGGCAAAGAATATTGAATATACCATGGACTGACAGAAGAATGAACAAATCTGTCTTGGAAGAAGTACAACCAGAGTGCTCCTTGGAAGCGAGGATGGCGAGACTTAGTCTCACATTCCTTGGACAAGTTATCAGGAGGGACCAGCCCCTGGAGAAGGACATCATGCTTGGTAAAGTAGAGGGTCAGCAGAACACAGGAAGACCTTCAGTGAGATGGACTGACACAGTGGCTGCAACAATGGGCTCAAGCATAACGATTGTGAGGATGGCGCAAGACCGGGCTGTTTCATTCTGTTGTATGCAGGGTCGCTGTGAGTCAGAACCAACTCGACAGCACCTAACAACACCAACAACATTTTTGAACAAAATTTGGAACATGTTTAAATGTTCTTCAACTGGCTTTTGTTTTTTAACCTAATAACTTACAAAAAAAAAAAAACAACTAAAAGTTCCAGCCTCCTTTCTGTGTCAGAAGCCCTGGCACACCCACCTCAATCCCATGGGTGGCCGAGTGGTCCCAGACCGGTCTCCTCACTGGAGACCACACTTCTCCCACACCACGGGGGCCCCTGCTCCGGCAGCCAGCTCAGCTTCTCTCACGGGCTTCTGGAGGCTAATTTTCTAAATATGGAATTATCAGGCACAAAGGGGCAGGTGCACTTAGAATTTCAGTGGGTACCACCAAACGACCCTCCCATTTACACCCACGAAGCATGTTTCCCTGTCCTGAGAACACTCTTCTTACAGGTAGACCTGGGTTTCAGAGGGGTCCGGCCCCTCCTCCCCACCCTCCCCCAGCGTCACCTGTTGGAAAGTCACACCAAACCACTTGGGTGAGACCAGCTTCCTCCCTAACCTACTTAAGGGCCGCCTGCTAATTATAACCACGAGCCCAGGCAGCTGTTCTCCGGAGTGGCCTCCTCTCACCGCGGCTGTGGGCAGCGTGGGCTCTGAGACCTAACCATCCCCATGATGCAGACCCGGCCATCCTGAGACCTCAGCACGTCATTCATTCAGTCCCCCATTCAGCCAAGAGGCAAGGGGGCCCACTCTATGCCGAGTGCTGGGCTGGCTCGTGGCCAGCGATGACACAGACGCAGTGCCTGGCCCCAAGGAGCTCCTGGTCAAGGGGGGCGGGGACAGACATGGACACCGCCACAGGCAGAAAGACCACTGCACCGGTGGGCGTGGGAGCTCCGGGCTCAGGACACACCTCTCAGGGTCCGCCCCCCACCCCAACAATTACACACTCAAACCTGCAGGGACCTCAAGAAGCCACCGCCTCCTGAGGCTGTCTCCCCCCACCGCAGCCCAGCTGGGAGTGTCCACGTTCCTCCTGCAGCCTCTGAGCACACTCATCTGTGCCCTCGGCCTGTTCTGGGGCTAGACCCACCCCCCCACTCCAGGGACAGTGGTCAGCCCTGCTTTTCTTTGGGTCCTAAGAACTGGAAGCAGGGCTCGGGAGCAAATGTTTGCAGAACGGAACTGAGTGTAGGACACTTCTCCCTCTTCTCCCCAGATTGGGCCCCATCCAGGGCTGCCCAGAGGGGACGGCAGTAAATGGCTGCTGGGGGATAAGCCCACCCACCTCCCACGCTCACCCCTGCACTCAACGTCTCCCCAACATCTGTCCCCTCTGAAGGGGCTGTAGTTGCTTCACTCCTGGCTCCCCCAGAGGCCCAGACCCCAGCCTAGTTGTTGTTAGATGCCATCGAGTTGGTTCCAACTCATAGCGACCCCGTGTACAGCAGAATGAAACCCTGCCCAGTCCTGCGCCATCCTCACAATCGTTGCTGTGTTTGAGCCTATTGTTGCAGCCACTGTGTCAGTCCATCTCGTTGAGGGTCTCCCTCTTTTTCGCTGACCCTCTGCCTTACCAAACATAAGGTCCTTTTCTAGAGATTGGTCTTTCCTGATGATGTGTTCAAAGTAAGTGAGTTGAAGTCTCCCCACCCTCGCTTCTAGGGAGCACCCTGGTTGTATTTCTTCCAAAACAGATTTGTTTGTTCTTCTGCAAGTCCACAGAACATTCAGTACTCTTCACCAACACCATAATCAAAGGTGTCAATTCTTCTTCAGTCTTCCTTATTCATTGCCCAGTGTTTGCATGCGCATGAGGTGATTAAAAACACTATGGCTTGGGTCAGGCGCACTTTAGCCCCCAGACTGACCCAGCAGGCACTCAGTAAGCAGGCTGAACCAGCTCACAGCCCTCTGTGGGCACACCTTCTCAAGCACACAGCACACTGCATTGTAACCTTTTTGTACGTGTGTCCCCCCGCCCACAGCATGCACCTTTATCCACACGTGTCGGCTTGTGGCAGGGAGTCCCCACTCCTTCCGAACCCTGACCTCTGTCCCTCTGAGCGCCTCACAGGGTTGTCTCAACAGCCACCTGTGGCCACTGCAACAGCTCCCGACTCGTGTGCTGTTCTCGTAATACGACACCGACACTGCTCTCACCAAGTGGGGGGCTTGAGACCCCTCCCCCTGAACCGGGATGGACCTGGTGACTGCCTCAACAGAATACAATGGAAATGACACCACGTGACTGTTAGAGACTGCCACACACCTCTGCCTCACTTTCTTCAGACGTGCATTCTTGGAACCCAGCTGCCATGCTGTGAGGAAGCCCAAGCTAGCCATGAGGAGCGACCACAGGCTGAGGCCACGTGGAGGTGTTCTGGCTGGCAGGCCAGCTGATGCCCACGACAGCCAGCATCAACCACCAGGCATGCAACCCGGGACGCCTCCAGATGATGCCAGCCCAGCTGTAGCAGGTGATTGTCACCCCCAGCCTCTGGTCTTCCCCTACGCATCCCAGACATTACGGAGAAAAGACAAGCCATCCCTGCTGTGTCCTCTCTGACTTTCTGACCCGCAGAACCCGTGAGCGTAACAGAATGGCTGTTTTATGCCGTGAAGTTAAGGGCAGCTCATCACGCAGCCATAGGAAGCTAGAAGGCCACCCCAGGGGTGACATCTAACACCACTTTGCAAACTCTTTGTCGCCCACCTCCGTGAGCTCCAGGGGGCCACCATCATGCTCTGCTGAGAGCCTGCCCTCCAACCCTGAGGTTGGCCCACCTCCTCCCCTGCCCAGATTCCACCAGGGGTCCGACTCCTGCCGCCCACACCCGATTTCACGAAAACTCAAGAACACGTGACCCAATTCAGTGGCTCTCGGCCTCTGACCTCTGAGTTTCTGCAAAGAATCTGCAAATACGTTTATACCATGACTGTCTGCAGGTGAATTCCATAATCTATCTTGCTTGGTGATGCAATGGTTAAGCGCTCGGCTGCTAATCAAAAGGTTGATTAATGGCTCCCCAGGAAAAAGACCTGGCAATCTGCTTCTGTAAAGATTATAGCCTAGGAAACCCTATAAGGCAGTTCTACTCTGTCATGTGGGGCCGCCATGAGTCAGAAACTGACTGGACGGCACCCAACAGCAACATCTTCTGTACAGGAGGTCCCCGGGTTAAACTGTGGACAACCATACTTAAGAACGAACGGCCAGAAAGCCTGTTATATTAAAAATTTGAGTTAAATACATGTAATGGTACTTGATAACAAATGTGTGTACTACTGCGGGACTCCCATGAAAACACTGTGGGGTTTGGAAGTGTTTCTCAAGTGTTTTATATGCATAGAAACGTAGAATATCTACTATACGCTAAGGCACGAACATTTGACTCACTGACGCTAAGTAAGCACGGTACGTGCCTCTTCTGACTTCCCCACAAATTCGACTGAAAGGCGGAGTTAGGACCAGATCTTGTTCGTAACCTGGGGGCTGCCTGTACACGGGGACTGTGATTTTTCCATTGTATGTAGATGCATATGGAGTTTTTAAAAGGTAGAAGCACCCTTGCAAGCGTTGGGAAATTCCCAGTTGCTTTCATTACTATTTTCTTAAGCAGATGACCAGCTGTGACTACCAGGATGTGCGTTTATTCTTGACACTGAAAAGGGATCTTCATTCTCCGAAAGCTTGGGGGACCCATAATGGGAACCCCGGCAGCTTCCCTGCTCTGGGAAAAAAGCTCAGAACCCATGGTTCACAGAAGAAATGTCAGGTTTCAAATTGCTCCGGATCTAATTTCTGGAACTTTCCTACCAAGTGAAAAGTTAGATTCTCTGAAACAGCACTTTGCAGCTGACAAAGCCCTTCATGCATTCTCATCCTTCACCTTGAAACCACTCCATGGTGTAAACAGGGCCAGCATGGGGGCTCAGGTGCCACTCCTGGTCATCTCCCCTCCTCCCTCCCACAGCCCACTCCCCACTTCCCCCCACAGCCCCCTCCCCACCTTCCCCAAAGCCCTCTCCTGACTTGGTCTCCCTGAGGCCCCCTCCTGAGGCAGTGAAATCATTCCCTCCACAGCCAGGGTCCCCAGAGAAGACGCCTACTACATCTTGATCCGGGAAGGGAAATGCTCAAAATCCAGGGAGATGTTGTCTGGAATTTTTACAGGCACCAGGGAGGCAGATATTCTCACGCCCACTTGGCCCAGGCTCCAGAGGTTAAGTGAATAGCCCAAAGGCACTCAGCCAGGAGGGGCCGAGCCAAGATTCAGTCCCAGGAGGTCTGTCTCCCTCCCGTGGACCACCCCTGGTCCAAGGCAGCTCCAGCAATTTCCAGCCACCACCCACCACCCACCACCACGGCCCCGCCCACCGCGGCCCCACCCACGCTAGCTCCCATCCCAGGGGTCCTCAGCCAGGCCTGACCCCAAAGGCAGCTCCTTCCGCGCAGTGTAATCCCACGACCAGCAGCCCTGCACTCTGGGAGCCGGGATGAGTTTATCATCTTCTGGGCTGGCTCCAGGAGGGGTCCTCCCAACTTCCAACCCAGCCAGGGCTGGCCCCTTTGATTCCTACGCAGGCACCTCCCCCTCAGGCCTCCCCAACACCCGGGAACGGCCTGGCCTTGGCAGCAAGCCCAGGTCCACTGCAGCAGGCTGTCCCCGTGGGCCAGTCACCAACAGGATGAGCCAAAGGGGAAAAGCCTCACGTTCCACACGGAAACACGCTAGCCCCCCAGCGACCAGGAGGAGGGGCCTCGGTGACTTCTGAGAGGCCGCAGGGACGCGGAGGACCACGCTGCTGGCACTAAGGTTCGTGCTCCAGGGCAGGCCACCGCCCCGAGCCTGTCATCTGTGCCAGGGTGACCACAGCGATGCCGAGCTCTCGGGATCGAATGGGACAAGGTAAGGGCACAGCAGGAGGAAGCTGAGGGCTGGAGGGGTCCTTAAACAGGCACTGCCTGACGCTGGACAGCCCCGTGACGCTGGCCGGCCCAGGGACACACCGCCATGGCTACGACAATCACAGCCGTTGGCAGGCACCGACCCCGGGGGTCTTGTCCTGCTGTCCCGGCGATGCTACTCCCTCGCTGGACAGCCCTGGGGGGCCTCTCACCCATCGGCCTAGTTTCTGAGGTCTTGAACGTCTGGGGAGTTCTCCTTCCTGAACCAGTGGGGGACTATCCCTTCCAGCCCCACAGAGCTCACAGCAAGGGGGCAGACAGGACGATGGTGCCCCAGGACACGCTCTCCAAGCACACCCAACTCCTCTGTTCAGGTGCCTCCCTGCTCAACAGCCTTCCACAGCTCCCACAGCCAGCAGGACACACCTCCACCCCAGCCCTCCCCTGAGCCCTCCTGGCACCATGCCCACCAAGTCCCCAACTCGTACCTCACCGCTCCACGACCCCAAGCCCCAACCCTGGCTCCCACCTCCCTCTCCAGGCAATACTGGCCATGCCCACCTCCCCCACCTGTGGGGCCATGCTCGTCGTTCAAAGCCCATGTCCGCGAGACAGCCTCCCTTGGCCACACAGCAGGCTCAGTCCCGAAGGCCAGGTGCTGGGAGCAACAGCTACACACAGGGGTGTGGGCCATAGCGAGCCCCTCACTCGGGGAGGCAGGGAAAGAAAACAGCCAGGGGCCACACTGTTGCCTCCCCACAGAGGAAGCAAGAGAGCCCCTAAACCAGTTGCCTCTGAGTTGACCCCGACTCTTGGTGACCCCACGTGCACCACAGTAGAACTGAGCCCCAAAGGGTTATCAATGGCTGGTTTTTCAGAAGTCGATCACCAAGCCTTTCTTCTGAGGTGCCTCTGGCTGGACTCGAATCCCCAACCTTCCAGTTAGCAGCCGAGCGTGTTCACCATTTGTGCCACCCAGGAACTCCAAGAGCGCCCAGGAAGTTACAAAGAGGATGTCCCGAGGAGGCAAGGGCAGAGAGCCGGGCTGGCCGAAAGCCAGGCCTGGGACTGTTTGCCCCCAGCAAGGTGGGGAAGGACACTCCCCATGCCGGGCTGGCAAACCGCAGGGCTCGGCGGTGGTCCATGCGCATGCGTGAGGGCAGGCCTCCACCCATGCAGGGTGGCCTCGTGGACTCCCCGCCATGTGGCTCCACGTCAGCAACTTTCAGCAATTCCTGGGACTCCTCCGGCACCAGGTGCCCACATCCCTATGGATGTTATTTCATCTCCGGAAGAGCCCAGCCCTTCCTGGCCAGCGGGGCATCCAAGGACTCTCACGGGTGGAATCCGGAACGCTGGGGCTCAGCGGGCATCTGAGCCCATACCCCACACAC